TAGAGAGTTAGCTAGTGCTAGAGAGTCAGTGTGAGCTAGAGCGAGTGGCAGAGAGGATAATAGGTTAGAATTAGATTCGCTGCAAGGCTTGTTGCCTGTGTACATCTATTCTCTGCATCACAACTGGAATTGTTGTAAGATTTTCCCGATGTCAAGGAATCATGTGAATTATGTAGCGTATACAATAAAGTAATGAGTAGTATACATTCGACATTGTTGCTTCTTATCAGAGAGGGAGAGAGTGAGAGTCGTTGTGAAGTTGGATGTAACAGACCAGGCGAAATAAGTGACATGCACCATAAAACATTTAGACAACGAAATAGTTGACAGCAGATGCCACACATTCCTCCTTAGTCTTAAGCTTCAAATCAGAGCCACTCTCTGATCTGACAATGCCCTGCAGTCTATGCCACTCTCTGATCTGACAATGCCCTGCAGTCTGTGCCACTCTCTGATCTGACAATTCCCTGCAGTCTTTTCCACGCTCTGATCTGAAAATTCCCTGCAGTCTGTGCCACGTTCTGATCTGACAATTCCCTGCAGTCTGTGCCACTCTCTGATCTGACAATTCCCTGCAGTCTGTGCCACTCTCTGATAATACCCTGCAGTCTGAGCCACGCTCTGATCTGACAATTCCCTGCAGTCTTTTCCACGCTCTGATCTGACAATGCCCTGCAGTCTGTGCCACGCTCTGATCTGACAATGCCCTGCAGTCTGTGCCACGCTCTGATCTGACAATGCACTGCAGTCTGTTCCACGCTCTGATCTGACAATGCCCTGCAGTCTGTGCGACTCTCTGATCTGACAATGCCCAGCAGTCTGTGTCACGCTCTGATCTGACAATGCCCTGCAGCCTTTTCCACGCTCTGATCTGACAATGCCCTGCAGTCTGTGCCACTCTCTGATCTGACAAAGCCCTGCAGTCTGTTCCACGCTCTGATCTGACAATGCCCTGCAGTCTGTTCCACGCTCTGATCTGACAATGCCCTGCAGTCTGTTCCACGCTCTGATCTCACAATGCCCTGCAGTCTGTGCCACGCTCTGATCTGACAATGCCCTGCAGTCTGTTCCACGCTCTGATCTGACAATGCCCTGCAGTCTGTGCGACTCTCTGATCTGACAATGCCCAGCAGTCTGTGTCACGCTCTGATCTGACAATGCCCTGCAGCCTTTTCCACGCTCTGATCTGACAATGCCCTGCAGTCTGTGCCACTCTCTGATCTGACAATGCCCAGCAGTCTGTGTCACGCTCTGATCTGACAATGCCCTGCAGCCTTTTCCACGCTCTGATCTGACAATGCCCTGCAGTCTGTGCCACTCTCTGATCTGACAATGCCCTGCAGTCTGTTCCACGCTCTGATCTGACAATGCCCTGCAGTCTGTGCCACGCTCTGATCTGACAATGCCCTGCAGTCTGTTCCACGCTCTGATGTGACAATGCCCTGCAGTCTGTGCCACGCTCTGATCTGACAATGCCCTGCAGTCTCTTTCACGCTCTGATCTGACAATGCCCAGCAGTCCTATGAATCTTCATGATGTAATTATGTTACCCCATAATTTATCACAACAGTGCCCAAACCCAACACTGGTTATACCATGCCGCCCTCCCGTGATAGTTGTACGCCCTCATCTGTAAGCACGGTACGCCCTCATCTTTAAGCACGGTACGCCCTCATCTGTAAGCATGGCACGCCCTCATCTGTAAGCACGGTACGCCCTCATCTGTAAGCACGGTACGCCCTCATCTGTAAGCACGGTACGCCCTCATCTGTAAGCACGGTACGCCCTCATCTGTAAGCACGGTGCGCCCTCATCTGTAAGCACTGTACGCCCTCATCTGTAAGCACGGTACGCCCTCATCTGTAAGCACGGTACGCCCCCACCGTCTATTTTATTCTATAGCCGCTACTAGACGCGTGTCATGGGGGTATTTTACAAACCTACACAAACATCTTCTCAACAGCTGAAGTATTTTATTCATGTTTGAAAACACAATGTTCCATTCCGTCAAAACGAAGAGAAAGATAATCTCACAGGGTTCAAAACACACTTTGGAAATAAATCTGAGATTTCTGTAGGCGGACAGTGAAGGGGCTAAGAAGTGTGGTGGTTGGGAGGGGGGGGGGTAAGCTGCTTTGATAAATAAGTATGGGCATGAGTACACTCCCTTGTCTAGTTTTGGGAGTATTTGTGAGGGGCTGAGAAGGTCTTGTGAAATAGGAAACTATCAGGGGCGTGTCAACAGGACTCCGGTGGGTTAGTTTTCAAAGTTAGAGGGAGGAGTCGAATAAATGCGCCGCAATCTGAACAAATATATATTTTTTTCAAACGAGAGAGCTGTTGCTGTTTGTAAAAGCTGTAGCTGTTTGTAAAAGCTGTTGCTGTTTGTAAAAGCCGTTGCTGTTTGTAAAAGCCGTAGATGTTTGTAAAAGCCGTTGCTGTTCGTAAAAGGCGTTGCTGTTTGTCAAAGCCGTTGCTGTTTGTAAAAGCCGTTGCTGTTTATAAAAGCCGTTGCTGTTCGTAAAAGCCGTTGCTGTTTGTAAAAGCCATTGCTGTTTATAAAAGCCGTTGCTGTTCGTAAAAGCGGTTGGTGTTTGTAAAAGTTGTTGGTGTTTGTGAAAGACGTTAATGTTTGTAAAAGCCGTTGTGTTTGTAAAAGCGGTTGGTGTTTGTAAAAGCGGTTGGTGTTTGTAAAAGTTGTTTGGCTTTGGGGTGGGGGTATTTTAATTTCAATTATTACTATTTTTTTTTTAAATTTGAGTTATCAAAGTTAAAAATAAACAAATACTTTACAAGGAAGGATAGATCCAGCCAGGATGAGAAGAACTCCGGGAACTAGAAATGTTCACACGTTTGTGTGCAGGAGAAAAAGCAGAAATCATGTGCCGGTATTTCGACTTGCGGTAGTATCGGGAGGTGAAATAAAAATAAGAGGTTGCTCTCGCAAACGACTCTACAAAGGTCAAATGTCAGGTTTAGTCGCGGGGCCAAAGAACGATGTCCTGTAATAGTGCTCTCTCAATGGTTGGTGGGTCTACTAAGGCTGTCTCAGTGGTGAGTCTACTAAGAACTGTATCGTGGGTCTACTAAGGGCTGTCTCAGTGGTGAGTCTACTAAGGGCTGTATCAGTGGTGGGTCACTAAGGGCTGCATCAGTGGTGGGTCTACTAAGGCTGTCTCAGTGTTGAGTCTACTAAGGGCTGTCTCAGTGGTGGGTTTACTAAGGCTGTCTCAGTGGTGCGTCTACAAAGGCTGTCTCAGTGGTGGGTCTACTAAGACTGTCTCATTGGTGGGTCTACTAAGGGCTGTCTCAGTGGTGGGTCTACTAAGGTTGTCTCAGTGGTGGGTCTACTAAGGTCTCTATCAGTGGTGGGTCTACTAAGACTGTCTCAGTGGTGGGTCTACTAATGGCTGTTTTAGTCGTGGGTCTACAAAGGCTGTCTCAGTTGTGGGTCGACATAGGATGTCTCAGTGGTGGGTCTACTTAGAATGTCTCAGTGGTGGGTCTACTAAGGGATGTCTCAGTGGTGAGTCTACTAAAGGCTTTCTCAGTGGTGGGTCTACATAGGCTGTAAACAGTTGTTTTTTTTTTTTTTTTTTTTTTTTTTTTTGGTTTTTTT